ATCATATACACGCACTCCAAGTCCACACGTGCATGCGCAGGTGTGCGCACAGAGACATTCATCATATACACACGCTCCAAGTCCACACCTGCATGCGCACACCTACACACTCCCAGTCGACGCGTGCATGCGCAGGTGTGCGCACAGAGACATTCATCATATACACACACTCCAAGTCCACGCGTGCATGGACATTCATGATATACACGCACTCCAAGTCGACGCGTGCATGCGCAGGTGTGCGCACAGAGACATTCATCATATACACACACTCCAAGTCGACGAGGTGTGCGCATACAGACATTCGTCATATACACGCACTCCAAGTCGACACGTGAATGCGCAGGGGTGCGCACAGAGACATTCATGATATACACACACTCTAAGTCGACACGTGCATGCGCAAGGGTGCCCGTACACACGTTCATTATATCCACAGAATACAACCGGGCCTGACGTTTTGGCTGCGTGCTCGTGATCTTGCGTCTCGTGGATCGCGTCTTGCCTTCTCAGTTAGCTTTTTCGGCCCATTGCTGCTGTACAACACTGCCAAGGGCCTGGCTGTCGTCTCCCTCACACCTGAATCGCCCACCTGCCTTCCTGGTATGCATGCGTGTGGAATACTGAAAGGGAACGAGGGCACGGAAATGGACGCATATGTGTGTGTTCGTGTGTGGGTCTGTGCGTCGTCGGTGTGCTGTTGTCGTGGTGTCGTGTGGCAGGTTGTTTTTCGCACTCTGCTGTCGCTCCGCTGTTCCGTTTGAGTGCACTGCACAACACTATCTGGTTCGCAAGAGTATACACTGACTGGATGGCTGACATGTCAGCGACCATTGTGTTGGTGGTGTTCTGTTGGTGTCGTGACTATGGCAGGTTGTTTTTTCGCACCCTCTGTCGTGTCGCTTTTCGTTCGGGTGCACTTTTGCCACCACTCTCTGGTGCGTATCAAGACAGACAGAAAAGGCAGACAGACGCACCAACCACACAGTGGCTGCCTGGCTGTGCATGCAATGTCCTCAGGCGTGTTGTTTTGCTTTTGCCGGTTGTCTGTAAGTTTGGCAGCGGCAGTTCCCTGCCTTGTCAACGCTCACAGCGCCCATTGGTTGAGCTCGCTGCATGACCGGCACTGCATAGAGGACTTTCACGACTGACGTTCATTCGTTCAATCACTCTCGGGTCCCCGCGCTTGAGTCGACCTGTGTTGATCTAGACCATCACCACCGAATGGTTTAAGCAGAGCACAAGACAACCAACTACAGCCTCATCAGAAACAGCTCGAAACGAACCATGAAGGCCGCGCGGACAGTTGGTGACGATGGAGATCTATCATTCGTCATTTGCAAGAATTCACAAGCACCGAACGTCGGGAACCCCGCAACTTGAGATGCGGTGAGTGAGTGAGGCGAGCAAAGCATTGGGCGGGGAGAAGCAAGGCAGCGCTGAATCGTTCATGGTCTGCTTGCTCTGTGTGTTTGTCGTGCAGGCCATTAGCTCTGCGCACAGGTGAGAAACAATGGCATCTGTGACAGCCTCAGACGACTGATCCATGTACGGTGTGTGTGTGTGCAGTGCATTGATTACCTCCAAACACGTGCAGAGGATGACAACACCGACTTCGTGACGTGCCCCTACAGATACGAGTAAGACACACAAGACGACTCATGAAAGGGCGGCCGCATGTCTCTCACTCCATGCGTCAGCGTGACAACGCCAGCCGATGTGTATGCGCCCAAGAACTATCCTCAGGCGGCCACACTTGAGCGCCATGAGCAGCAAAGTATACACAGACACAGACACACACACACACCCCAACACACGAGCAGCCTTCGGCCTTTGGGATCGTTTCTTCGTGCAGAGCGTCACCGGATGGCTGCTTTGCTTAAGTGCGTCACCGATGCCAACTCGCTGGCTCTGATGGAGGTCGCGATGGTCATCGAGATGTGTCAGTTGGAGGCTGAGGTGGACATGGATGCCGGCCTGTCATCGATACGCTGACAGCTGCACACACTCATGACGGTGAGCACAGGCGATGGGAGAGGCCATGTGATGACATCAATCCGTTTGCTGTGCAGTCACCGATTGAGGGCAGTATAGTGAACAGAGGCCAGGGAGTGTTTCTCACCAGGTGGATGGGAGGCAACAAGAAGTCGCTGCGGTCCCTTTACCGGTGAGAATGCACAATGCCAATTGGGGCAGCATGATAAACTCATCACTCTTACTCTTCTGTATCTGTGGTGGTCATTCAGGGCCTCGCATGATGGGCCGTCGCATGCCAAGTTGCTTCGGTGTGTCGGCGACGCGAATGGCCTCGTCTTTGTGGTCAAGAAGGGCGAGCGTCTGTTCGGCGCCTTCATCAGTGCCGGAATCCAGCTGCCCGACGACCCGACAGGCGAGAACGAGTACCGGTGCGATGTGTGGCATTTCTCACTGGCGGGCCACTTCGCGCAACCGACCAAATTTGGGGGTGTCCGGCAGCCAGTGGGGGTGGCCGGGCGGGAGGGGCTGACAGCGGAAGGGCTGGAGAAGCTGTGGAACTGCCCATGGCTGTATTTGGGATGTGAGGGTGGCGCTGCTGCTGATGATATGCGCAGCTGCTATCAGTTCATATACAGCGGTTGTGTGCCTGAGGGCTATGTGGGGCCGTGGAGTGAGTATGGCAATGCTGCGTTTGGGGGCAGGGCGACATTCATGGCTGACGACGTGGAAGTGCTAACTGTGGTGTGAGAGTGAGGGAGAGGTGAGATGTGTGTTGCTTTTGTCCAGTGTGCTGTGTGAGGCCTACCTTCATTCTGGGCCTCCGTATTCGTTTTGTGCGTGGGGTGATTGGTGCCATGTGGTGTCCGCATACACAGCAGATAGATGAGGTGGTGGTCACTGCTGCCAGCCAGGCGGCCACTCTTTCTGACGAGACGGACGGACGCATGAAGGACCATGTCGTTTTTGACGGTGAGTGCTTTGGTGTCAATGGAGCGTCGTGCGTGTGTGTGACGATTGAACGATACACTCTTTCTGCATGTCCCCTAGTCCCTCGATGCATCAATCAATCAACACTCAATCAACCTCACCGATCCATCCATCCATCCATCAACCGCATGGAATGGTTTTGCCCTTCCTGCCTTTCTCTACATGAGACAGCCATGTGATGAAGTGGGAGAAAGGGAAAGAAATCCACACATTGCAGGCAGCCAAAAGGGAACCCACTGGCACATCCATTACAGGCGCGAGCACTCGCTGCACACGTCCGCTACATATGCATCGATCAATCTGAATGGCCTGTAGGCATGTGTCTGTGCTCGTATGTATATGCGTCTGCGATTATCGATCGTACTGTCATGTATCATCAAAGCAGTCGTCTCGCTTCGTCCACCACAGGAGGAAGCATCACCATTCTTCATGTCTGCGCGTCACCACATATCACCACACACACAACGAACACGTCACATGACAAAGAAGTGATTGGTTCTGTCTGCCGGGCAGCTGTGTGATCATCCTGTCGCATCGCTGTGTGTCGCTACTGAGATGAAAAATGCTGCCAACAGCGAGGAAGGACTACAAAACACTAGTGACAGCCAGCAAGTACTAATAGAAACACCATGGCACCACATTCAGCCATTGCTATCGAAAAACAGCACAAGTAGCAAACCGGACACGAGAGCCTCACTGTGACGCTCAGCAGCACGTGTGCATGCAGAGAAAAAAGCCACGGCATTTGAGCCACCTGCATGCAGGGAAGACAGAATCGGACGACAAACGCTCGGCAGCAGCATCCATGTATGTATGTATGTTTGTTTGTCACAGATACACGCAAACACGTGCACACCGAACGAAAGAAAAAGGCTCGCTCTAGCACTTGTGTGCACGTATGTGTATGAAGTACACACGTGTGGCATCGTGCCCGTCTGATTGAACTCGACTCATGCAGAGAAAGAAGCAGGCCACACGCCGACAGAGAAAGAGAGAGAGAGGGGGAAACGCAATAAGACTTGAACACGATCTCTCACGCACACACAAGAGAGACACATGCATGCATGGCAGATGAGGGGGAATCACGCTAAAAGTGCGGTGGATTAGCACTGTGAATGAGTGATTTCACATACACACGCGTGTGAGCGTCGGTGCGCGGTATGCAGCACAGTGTCTGCCTGTTTTCTTGCCTCTATTTATGTCCTTTGTTCATGTGAATGCGTATTATCAACTGCCCCTTGGGCGTGGGTGTGTGTTTGTGATGCTTTATGCTTCATGAGTGCAGCATTCACACACACACACACACAGGTGTATGGGCAATCCGCACGTCAACCAGGTCTTCATGCAGATTGTGACGGTTACGCACACATGCAGCATTGAGTCAGCAAGCACTGCACACATGCATACGTGAATCGGATGACAACAACACAACACCGTGACAAACAACACAATTGTCGAAGTGGCCGTGTGGTCGTGACACACACACACATCCCCCCCACGCCACTCTCAACCAGTCATATAGGCAGTCATAGATGAGCCCCTGCATACGACTGCATAAGGTCGTTGCACATTGCAGCGATTCAGCGATTCTCAGCGATACATACTCTCACTGAGATGCACACGTTTCTGCAACCACAGCCTCATCAGAAGCTGCACTCAGCTAATGCCGCTTCGGTGTCGGGGTCGAAGTCAACGTGGCGAAGACGAGGCAAGATAAGAAGGAGAAGAAGACAAGGAGAGGAGAAAGGAGACGATGCATTAGAGAGAGATCAGCGATAGTGGTCTACGTGGTGAGATAGTGCCTTACGGTGGTGATCAGCGTAAATTTGGCTACGGGGACCAGCAGCCGGCGCAGGCCTTCGACCATCGGTATCACAGCCGCTCTTTCCCACCTCGCTTCCATCCCCGCTGGACTGGGGACGGTGAGTACGGGCGTCCGGCGTTCCAGCCCAACCGAAGCTACGACAGAGGACCTGGCATGAACGTCTGGATTCCACAGCGGCCTGGTGATCCTTATCTCTGCCCGAACGAGATTCGTGCGATCGTGGCCAAGCACGTGGAGGAGATGAAGGAGGCGGAGAAATGAGAGGCGTTCCAGCCATTCGAGGCCAAGCTGGACGTTCCAGCCATTCGAGGCCAAGCTGGACGGCCTCGCGCAGCTGATGGCCAAGGCCGTGCAGCCGCAGCCCTTCTCGGCTACTTCCGCAAGTGCGACAGCCGCAACGCCGACTGGTGCGGTTGGCAGGGAGGAGTTCGAGGCCCTGGTGGCGCAGCAGAGGGAGCTGATGGCGCAGCTGCACAGGGAGAGAGAGACCAACGCGCGAATCCTCAAGGGCAGGGCAAACGCTGACCCTCCCCCTTTTCCCAACGCACGCCCCACCGCCCCTCCCCGCATTCCTCTCCATTTGTTTGAAGACCCCCTGCCAGACTAGGACGGCGACCAGCCGATGGTGTCTCCTCGCGGCCGGCAGACCGCACGCAGGCATCCGCGGGGATCGCCGCACAGGTTCGCCGAGATGGATGCTGAGGACGATGGGGACGATCAGCTGATGCTGACCAAGATCAGGACAGTGGAGGAGGCTGTCAGGTGCCATGCACGCAGGCACGGACGCACTTACACATGTCTCCCACACACGCACACACCCACGCCACACAGGACTCACCGACGGTAAGGCTGGAGACACAGGAAGGCCTAAATCCTATTCTGTTGACGGCGCATTAGATGAGGCAGGTCGACCGATAGACAGAATGACACTCACCCATCTATCTAAGACTGCGACTTATGATCATCATCCTGTGCGTGCGTGCATGCGTGCGTGCATATTCTGCTTTGACTCCCAGCTCCCTGCTTCCCTACTTCCCTGCTGGCTGTCCGTCCGCACCGATCGGTCCCGCGTGCTGCGCTGTGCTGTCCGTTATGTGGTTGTGCACGCCCCCATAGATCCACGACATACACACACACCACACACAATGCCCGAGATCCACTCATGCTATCGACCGACAGACCGCCCGTGACCCATTCATATATATATGCCAGACACACAGACCCACAAACACACACACACAGACGAAAAGCCACACACAACTGAAAAATAGCGTTAGTTGCATGCATCATGAATGCATCACGGACCACACACGACATGACACACGAGAAAAAAGGAGAGTCGCTGGCTGCGAGCGATCCTTCGGCTGATGCGTGAAGTTACTCGCCTGACGGACGCAAATACTGTTTGTCAGGCAATGTACCTGCCTGTCAGTCAGTCTCTGCTGTTGCGTTTGATCAGTTCATGCGTTTTTTCCACCTCCTGATCGACCAAAGAAGAGAGACATGCACGTATATGTATCTGTATCTGTATCTGTGTATATATGTGTGTGTGTGTGTGTGTGTCCTTTGGTGTATGTGAGCACATTGCAAACGTTTTGGAAGAGGTGCGTACGTACCTTCTCTAATGCTACCGTGCGCACACAACACATCCACACATCCACGCACACGCGGAGAGATGGACGTGTGTGCGTATGTATGTGTATATCTCTGTGTCTGTGTGTGGTCTGTTCGCAGGTGTGTATGCTCACCGTGCGCCCTTTCTCTAAGCATCCGATCGGTGGACTCCCTTATGAGGCTCTCTGCCTTGCTGGAGCGCCGCTGGCGAACCGCCAATGGCGACGGCGCCTTACCAAACACAGAGTACACACGCACTTTGTCACCCCTTGGTTTATTGTCAGCAGTCGTGCTGAGCACTCCACCAACGCCCTCATCGGGCAGCGATCCTTCTGCCGACTCGTCGTCATTATCGATCGCGACATCGCTATGATGCTGCTCCTGATCCTGATGCTGGTAGTTGTTGTCAGGCGCGGTTGGGTGCACAATGACGCGTTTACTGTGGTAGTCTAGGCTGTCTTTTCGCTTTGGTGGTGTGGAGGGCTGATGCACCTCATCTGAGCTGGTGACGATCGTTATGGGATTGGCGAACTGCGCTTGTTGGTTTGGCGCGATCTTGGTGCTGGCCCGATACTTCTTGACGAACTGGGGATGCGTCGCTGGGTCGTTAAGCTTAGCTGCGACCGCGACGGGGAGCGCGCTTTTGTAGTCCACGTGCAGAGACGTGTAGCGCCTGAAGACACACACACACACACATATACAGATAGATGGGCCCGCCTGCCTGCTTGCCTGCACCACAAACACGTGTCTACACATAAATGGATACACGCATACATACCAGGCGTAGTAAGAGAAGAGTGCCTGCACGCATCTCTCGGTCCGATATTTAAAGCATACATACTCTTTGAAGTCGCTGTAACTGACTGTGTCACCCTCGAAATCCATCTCTGAATCACACACACAATCGTCCGTCATGTATGCCACACACAGATACTTTGAAAACGACGTCTTATGTGTGATTGTGTGTGTATGTATGATGCCTGCCTTCCAGTTCAGCAATGATGTCTCTCCTCGGTGGCCACCGATACGTCGCGCTGGCAATCGATTGAATTATCAGGTCGTAGCTGCACACACGCTCACACACATGCATATGCAATCTGTGCATGTACCGGAGGCCACGAATGAGATGTGTGGCAACGTACCTCTGCCCGTACACACACACACACACACACACACAGAGAGAGAGAGAGTGAGAGAGAGAGGGAGAGAGATGGAGGCATGTGAACATATTTGTGTGAGAGGGGGGAGGGCCCTACATCGACAATTATGTTGTTGACTTCGCATGCCATCTCTTCGAGTTGGTACTTGGCGGTCTCGTATTTCTGATGACCACGAAGAACGATAGTGGCTTAGTTATTTCGTACCAAAACATTCGTCACCTCGATAATAATGGCCACGAAGAAATTTAGGAGGATGAACACCACCACTAGTGCGAAGATGAGGAAATAGATGATGAGCGCCGAGTTGTTTGATGTGTGGGCGATCTCCTCTGGCCTGACAACATAACAGTCGGTTGGCGACATATACACATATTCACGTAGCCACACACACACACACACACACACAGTGCTGACCTACCAGGAACCGACGAGCATCTGCATACATACATACATACAACATACATACGAGGCCGCGAAGCGAGATGCGAAGAATACAGGGAAACCACTTGTTGGCTCTGTCTCTCTGTCGTTGGACCATGCAACCGACCTTGAATTGCGTCATCAGACTCTCCGAAATGGTGGAGAACATAAAGAAGGATGTCCCAAACTGGAAGTAGCCGATAAATGCTGCACGTGTCCATCCATGCAAGGAGACAACACACAATCAAAACTCGTTACCAGGCAGTATATCATATATGAACAGTGTTCGTTCGTTGGCTGCTTAGTTTATATGTTGGTGTTAGCTTGCCTAGAATCACGTAGAGCATCATGAACGTGAGGAGAAAGTGGAATAAATCATTCCCAGCCAGGATGCATGTTCGAACGAGGACGGCTACTCGTGGGTGAGCTGACCTGCATCAACGAGCGAACGAGTCAGAAGAAATACACACACACACAAAAGCAACGCAAAGGCGGAACGGCGCTAGCTTGATGCATGGTGTTGTGTGCTTGACCGTCTGTCTGTCTGTAAGGCACATACATACATACATACATACATACATGTAGAAGACAATCCTTGCGAAGTAGAGGTAGAAGACGAAAGCGACAATAGAATTGGAGATGTATAAGATTCGGATATGACGCGATATGTTTTGGAGAGCCCTGCATAAGCAGTGACACATACATACATACACGGAAGGATGGACGTATGATGCATGCGATGCGATGTGATGCGATGCGATATCGCATCGTGCATGCCGTCTGTCTCGATTCTTACTCGAAGAACATTGCGAATTTCTCCGAGGGCGGGATGGTTTCAGAGATCCAGTCGATCTGACAGAGACGCAAAGACACAAAGACACCGTGCAGTCCTTCAACATCCATGAGTGGACACACATACAGTACGAATCACACACGCACTCACGCACCTCGAGAATACGCGTGAAATAGCGATTGAAATAGTCCTCTCCGGTGAAGGTGAATCGTCTCATGAACATGAAAGCAACAGCCGCTATGATAACGATGCCCAGGAAAAGGTCGACCAGACACCAAAATTTAGTCATGCCAATCCTGTTGGAGAACGTTTTGCTTCCCTTCCTTGTCCGAATAAACAACCTGCATTCGTTCATGCGCTCATGCATGCGCACACACGAATGGGTACATGCATGTACTCTTGTACAAACCTACCTATAGAAGGAAGCCGCCAATCTCGCAAGGACGAGGAAGCCGACGAGATAGATCAGGACTTGGAACAGAATGTCCTCAACATCCGCCATCTACGCATCTCATGTACATGCACATAAATATGTTGCCAGCCAGAGACACGTGGGTGCGGTGCGTCTTTACCGAATGAACGCTCTCGAGGGTGAAAGACGACTCAATCTGCTCCTGCTCCACTACAAACACGATCGTCATGAGCGTCCCAATCCGCAATGTGGGCGTGTAGAAGGCCAAAATGATCTTCACTTCCCTGTCACATACACACATCCATGCAGACGGGCAATCAACCGATCAAACCACGTGTCATTCGTTGTTGCCAGCATTGATGACCGTGTTTGTATGTCGATCCAGTCACGAGTATAGCGAATGTCCCCCGCACCCCTCTTGATGATCATCGAGTCGAAAACATGGAGGAAATCTGCAAACACGCTTTCCCCCTGGAACAAGGCCGGTCAGGGAAAGACGCATATGCAAGCGAACGGAGACTCTTCCTTCATTCAGCCGTTTATATATATATATGCGCTGCACCCACCAGGAATTTCTGTGGCTTTACGCCGAAATGCTCGTCAGTCTCCGTTGCGCCGTAGTCCGTGCAAGCGTAGTTGGTGCTCTTGCCCTTGGCAATCGACGGGAAGTGGCAGTCGTATACTGTCGTGCAGCGCTTAGAGAATTGTCTTGAGAGGTAGTCCTCAAGCCGTCTCGAGAATGACAGCCCAGGGTCGCTGGAAAAGGGATACACGTAATTAACACATACAATATCATGATGTCAGTCAGGTACATGCGTACATGCGTGCTCTCTCAATATTCATCCATACCACTTAGATGTCTTCACACGTGCTTGAGTGATTACGGCGGGCATGATGGACACCTGCATGTGTTCATGCATGAAATCGCACACACAATATGTTAATCCCGATATGTTCAGACCCGCCGTAGTATACGGTGTGTGTGCTGCGCTTTGGTTTTTCGTTCGTTCTTACAGTGTGCTTTGGGTATTTGGATATTTCGGCTTTGACTTGTGCTTTGGGCGGCTGGCTGCCGGGCAAGGATGGCACGCTGTGTTCGAAGCCGGTATAATAATCAAGCTGAGCTTCCTGGAGACTACATAATGAATGACCCAGGTACATACGGACAACCATTTATTATAAACATGCGCAGAGGTGACAGGCAGCCACAGAAGAATGAAGCCTGTTGCGTCTCGCATTTGCTTTGTGTAATGACATGCTGCGCTACGCCCACCTCAGGTCGCGGTCATAGAATTTGAAGTCGAATAACTCGCCCGCACTTCTCTGACCACAGAAAGACAGATTGGGTACATATACCTATCTTTGAGGCTTTCTTCTGTCTTACAAAAACTCCTTCTCGGCCTGCCACTAGACCTCCAACTTCAATGGTTGCCTCCCTTATGAATGCTGCTGCGAGCTGCGATGGATCCCCTTGAAGAGATCGACGCCCGTCCCATAGGCTCTCTTTCATATTCTCGCGCAGATGGAAGAGTTTCGTCTCACCTTCCGCCTGACTGGAAAAAGTAACAGGGAGCAACCACGAACAAGAATTCATATCGTTTGTGAGCAATGTACTTGTCTGCTTACGTCATTGGTGTGAGTGTTCGAAGACTTCGATTAGGGTTAAGCCAATCGCCAATGGCATACATAACCTCTTCAGTGGTGATCTTATGAAGGCACATGTCGAACGGTATGTAAAACTGCAATGGCACAAGAGATGTCAGAACGTGTGCATTGATCCAATGGCTTTTCCGCATATTTTCCAATGCGAACCCGGTAAGGGGTTGTAGAGCGGCCGTTGACATAGAAGGTGAGATATTGAAAATCAGTAATCGTCACACCAAAGTCTACAAACAACCAGACAGAAGGAGCAGACATAACGTCCGGCTAATTGCCTGCTGAGTGCGTGACTGCGGATCTCTGACGGTGCCAGTCTGCGAAAACTGCGGTGGTACGCAGAGCCTCTGCGTCGGTAGTGAGAGAAAACACGTCCACCGGTACCTTTGAATGCAGACGCAGAGACATAGAACTCCACTCGCCTGCCAGACCGGCCGTCCAGTAAGCAAGTACGATTTTACCGGTACTTTGACCGTAAACCCACGCAAGTATCCGAGGCCAAGCATTTCCCTTGTTCGATGTATAGATGGATACACAGATAGGACATGTTGATGAGGGAGATACAGGAAGGAAGTTCATTTACGAGAGTGCATGCCATACCAATCGATCTCGGAGAATGCGTATTCACCGTACTCGACTCCCCATGGAACTTCGTTTTCGCTATCGGGCTCGAGAGGGCCAATACTCCAGCATGTCTTGTTGTCCTGGACGCACAAGATGAATGAACAGATCATATTCCGCACATTCATTCATTGGTCGCAGGACGCATGTGTGCATACGCGTATGAAGCGAATGACGTGATGGTCGGAAAAACCCCGGATCCAGGCTGATACGGCTTGAGAAACCGGCTGCCGTGTCAGGACGCGTACAACCCAATCAACAGTGATCTGAAGGGGAACAGACAGGCAGGCAGCATTGAGCAGAGCCGCTCGGTCGTGGTCTCCTTACGTTGAGTGTCGGGCCTTCCACCGGGGTTAGAACCGGGTCGTCGATCCTTCGTGTCTTCGTCGTATAGTCGCTTGCATTGCGGCCCAGCAGGGCGGCGCCCGGCTTCCTAAGAAGTTCCTGGTAATACGTGAACCAACGATCGGCCAGCTCTTGGCCGTTCTGCATCGTTTCGAGAGGGACTGTGTCTCCTGACACGCCTAGCATTTGCCGGATTGCAGCGAAGTCGAGCTCAGACAGCTCAGACGAGTCCACCTGCAGTGTTTCGTGACACACAGAAGGACAAAAGGACTACAAGCCTAGCGTATACATTTGTGCAGGCGGCAAGTAGATGCCGCCTGACTGATTCACTCACCCACCGGTGCGAGAAAAGCTTTCATTTCCTCGTAATCCCAGTGACTATCATTATTGAAGTCGTACACTTCCCACGCAATGCTCATGAATTGCAGTGAGCACTGTGAACACGTGATGGGGCACTCGTCAACTGTCACGTTGTCGACGTAGAGACTGCAGCTTGCGTCATTGCTTCTATACCTGCATGCATAAGTGATTGATCGAGTGGTCAAATCGGTCCACAATGCTGTGTGCGTTGCTTGGCTGATTAGCTCCTGACCACTGGCAGTCATCGAGCATGAAGTCGTGGTAGCTGGGGTTATCGTAGCAAGAATCCATGAGCGCAAGAAACCTGGCAGTGTCATTCTCGGTGAGGACCGTATCCTGCAGAGACCGAGGGCCAACAGGCGTCATCCTCCTGGCCGATGGTGCCGTGCTGTTCGCGTCCGCGTGTGTGGCGGCGAGCTCCCCAACGAGGTCGTTTCGCAGTGTCTTGATGCTTCTGAGAAAGGTTTGCTGCTTCTCCTTCAGTGACTGTGTGACGGTTTCCTCCAGCTCATCTAGCCTCTGCTCCTGCTCCGCGATGGTCTCAGCGGTCTCCGCAGTCGATGCGCCTCCTGCATTAACGAGGTCGTCCAACGGAGCCCCAACTGCACGCAGCAAAAGAAGGAGACACAAAACACTTTCACTTCCGTGTTCGCTATGTCTCTCTGTGTGCCCCTACAGCTGATGATGTCTTTGATTTCGTTTTTCGTCAGCTCTCGCGGGAAATACCTCACATCAGCCAGCTGACCTGAAAACTGATCGTCGCCTGCACCGCACCGTACACATGCCATGAGCCCCCGCTCGATCGTTTATCCCTCTTGTTTGCGACAGTCACCAACGTAGAAGCTTCCCTCGACACAATCAGTGAGCGTTTGATGGTAGACAGGCACGGTGAGCCGACCAGGACAGATTGTCTTTTGATGTGTTGGGTTAGGCAGGGACTCAATCAGCTCGCCGTCTACACAGTCAAGAGACATATCAGCAATGTCGATACGTGTGTGTCGTTTCTCGTCTTGGCACCGTAGTAGAACGACGATGTGCTGTTGCGCACTATCTGAATCGATCGATTACATGCATGTCGACACAGACAGACAGACAGACAGAGCAGAGTGTGTGTATGTGTGTATGGATGCACTGACGTATCTCATCTGTGGGGACATGTGCGTCGGTGGTGCATGGAAAGCCTGCCTACCACTGCGTATAAGTGCCACTCCCCATCGATGATAGTTGCGTTGTGTTTGTCAACAATATCTTCTTGCAGATACCGCGTTTCCGTCGCTCCAGGTCGCGCGGCGGCCGGTGTACGCAGCTCGGCCTCAGTCTCAGCCTCCGCCTGCATCTGCTTTCTCCTTTCGTCGAAATTGGGATCTCTTCCGCGTGGGCATGCGCCTTCGTCGATCCCACGCGAGAAGGCCGTGGTCCTCGCCGGCGCCCATTCATCTTGCGGAATGTTTCGAGCTGCTTCCGTCACCTGTGTCGATCAGAAATACAGAGCGCACTTGCCTCAGATGTGTCGCGGTGTATACATCAATTGTATGTTTGCTGACGAATGTGCCGACGAGTCTGCCCTCATGTGAACCTGTGGCCAAGCCACATCGACCGACCGATGTTACACGGCAGTGAATCTACGCATGTGTGCGCACCGTATGTGACGCCGTCAACGCCAATTCGCCAGCACGTACTGCCCAGACCAGCTATGTTTCGATCCATTCGCTTCTCGATGATGTTGAAGCTGGGCGATGTCGTCTGGACGGACAAACCGATCGCAAACACAGGCACACACACACTCGCGATACATGTTTCCGTGTATATATAGAAGCTGACCTTGACCCATGCAGTCACGGTGAAGGTCTCAAACAGCTGTATGTGCGTGCGTCCATGCAACCCAACAAACCATAAATAACAGGGGCACGAATCTCTTGGTGTGTGTCGTTTCGTCGTTTTGTGTGGCTGGCTCTCCTGTGTGGACTGACTTGCAGAGGGTAGTTTTGGAGATTACGAGCCGGCGGGAAGGAAGCGGATAAGGGCAGGGCGTTGAGCTGAGTGGTTGCGTCGTGGATGAAGAATTGCTTTGACGAGGGGATGTAGGTCTGCTCCGTCTTGGACAGATTGGCTATGAACCCCCATATCGAATCCACCGTGCGCACGTCAGCTACATCCTGAAAAGGCGGACAGACAGACAGACAGACACGCAGGGGCACAGAAGCTGAGCCGCTCATCCAAGTGTCGTTGCAGCCTCTTTCACGCTTTCACGTTCGTACGTCGAGATGGAAAGAGTTTCTGAGCGATTTATGCACTCTGTAGACGTGATCCGTGCCGCTCTGTAGACACATGCTCGATCATCATAGAGACAGTCAGTCAAGCAGTGGGATGTTTTTTTATCTCTGCGCTCACCGAGATGTATACGGCGAACATGAACAGAAATACTACGAGTGAGAGAAACAAACATGCGCACTCTTGCTGGGCCATGTTCTCTTCCATCGTAAGCCTAGACAGAGACATTCACCCCACCATGCAACAGTATGTAAGCGTGGGTGTGTGTATGGACTCACTCACGCACCTTTGTATGAAGGCCTCTCTGCGCAGTGGGACACTGAGAAAGCCCTCTGCCGCCTTGTCGCCCAGGGCAATGGCCAAACTCTGCTTGATGCTGGATATGCCTTTCCGGCTCCCAGACTCATCCCCAGACCTCTTCGAACGCTGGCCCGCAGACCTTAATCGTTTGAAACACACACATAAGCAACAAAGACGGTCACCATGCAAGCGAATCAATGCTGCCTGCATGTCCTGCGTGCGTGCGTGTGCTCTAGCGACATGCGTGCACGAGGCGTGCATGGCTCCCTTACTTTTTGTCGAGTTCTTGTGTTCCCTGCCGGTCTGGCGAAAGAAATACCGCGTCCCTCCAACGATCGTGAGGCGGGATCTCTTGGAGTGGAGGAGAGGCGCTGTCGGATGTGGTGGACGCCATACTCTTCAAATGCCAACGAACTCTGCTCGCGCGGGAGAGAAGAACTGGGGGCCGGCCAGTCCCGATGGCCCCAATGATGTTCGAAGGGAAGGCGGAATAGATTCACGGCCGGCGTGCTTAACGTTACGCTTGTTGAAATCCAGTCATCAATCAACGTAGTACGTGTGTCATCGCAGGCAGGCAGGCAGGCAGACAGGGGTCATACATACACACACACATACTGTCATCTCTACACCATGGCCGGCCACGTGTGTATCTCTCTACTCATGTATATATGCATGTATCTGTACAGTGGCGATCCAGTGCAAGCCCTCGGAGCCCATCCCATTGGTGGCCGACATAGATGAGGTGCCAATCAGCGCCACCGACTTGGCGACGGTCCTGACTAGTAATACTGAAGGGAGCGGTTTCAGGGAATACCCTAGGCGGCCTGACGGCCAGGTCCCATGTTTGTCCAGCCCAACATGCAACACGCACCCCAACATGCAACACGCACACGCAACACGCAGCACGCAAAGGGCAGAAGCAGCAAAAGGTGGATATGCAATGCGCTGCGAACGACGGCAACATACGAGTAGGCACCCAACGTCGCACGCACGCCAACCCAGCGGGCGGCCGGAATTGGGCGGCGAGACGGCGGCGTGTGTGTTGCACCATGACTCCATACGCACATACCGCCCATCCCCAGCCGGCCAGCCAGTGCAGATCGATCAGTCACACACAGATATGCCCTTGACACGGACAGATACGGGAAGATGAGGGTCTCCGAGAGTGGAGCGCACCGCCGCTCCAGTCTCCACGGCGGAGACTGGGGGGGCGGCAGGCGGCCGGCTCGCAGACACCCACATAGCATGCCCGTACACACACCACCGCAGGGAAAACCGCAAGGACAAGACACACACAAGCCAGACGCAACCGGACGCCGTGCCGGCACACCCGCCCCACGCTACACGCCCTTATACGAACACCAATAGCCCAGCCCCAGACGCACACACCCACACGCACGCACACCCACACGCACACACATAATATACTGAGGATTATCATCTCGATATCGGCCCTCTGACCACTGACCCTGAGAACTTCACCGTGCCGTGCAACAGCAGTGAGCTTTTGACTGAATGGACGTGTGAGCGGTTGTGAAGCATGTGAAAACCACAGATAACAGATCTGATAGGAGGAATTTAAGGGTAAACACATAGCACCAAATGAGCTCGGGAGAAGGGACGTACCGTTGATACGACACAAATGCTCCCTTCGTCGGCACGCTTGCAGCAAGGCTCTCAAGGTTGAATGGCTGAAGACGCCTGACTTTCTGCTGGGGGAGTATCAAACATGGATTCGACTTTCTGAGAGGCAGGAGGTTCAGGTAGAGTGGTTGCCTTACAAGAAATGATACGATGACTTCTTTCGATAAGACAGTGCCAAGTGATAGGCGCTTGCTCTGCACCTTGATTCACTGAGATACTTTCTGACCTGCTCTTTCTGAGGGGTTCTTTACATGAATCGATCAAGCGTCCGTCAAGGGAAGTGTTACCTTGCACGTTTCAGAAGCACAAGCCACAAGCCACTGTCACACTAAGTGCTTATGGAAAATTGGGAATTGCACGTACGTAAGCCTGTTCATTGATCTGTTCTCCTCAGTGCCAGCAAGCCACAAAAGCTAGAGTTGAAAAAGAAGAGAATCCTAACATTATCAGAGAGATGCCATGAGACGTGCCACCGAGTACAGTTATCATCGTCATCTCCCTCACCAAAGTCAGCTTCTGCCTTTAGTCAAAAAGCGACCTGCAATCCAATGAGCATCTACTTCGCCCGTCCCCTTATTCTACCCCCGCTTATCTGCACAGCCGTACTAGAAAACAAGGCACTAACCAAATCACTCGAAAATAACCATGTATGTGTTGGCCATTCGAAGCTGACCGACTAACTGGTTTTGCCTGATTCTTGCATCCACGTACAGATGCAATATAATGCAAACATCTGCCGTACAGTCTTTGAGATGTCTCTCCTATCAATACAACCGTCCGTGACAGCATACAACATAGGCCTGACGTCTGGCTGGCGGTCCTTCTCCCTCACTGACCTGCAGCCTAGTAGTTCGCTCTCCCTCTCCCTCACTACTTAGTCCATGTGCGCAGCTCTCTCTGTGCATCTCTGTAAAGCACCTCTTACTGCCACGTACCGATCCATGAAACCCTTACGCCTTACGAACACCAGGGACCAGTACAAACGACAAAAATATACCTGCAGCGGCCATCATTCACGATGCAGTGAAAAAACACTCATTGAAAAGGTGTTCATAAGCATGAAAAAGCGCCTTCGAAATCCCATAAACACATGAGCAGGCGAGTTGCTGCTTATGGCAGCGCTTTCGTGGCGCACGAAGGTGAGTGGGAAGACGTCAGGCGACCTCACTTTATCGTCCACGTCAACACACTCGTGTGGGGCAACCGTAAGCGAGCCACAGATGGATCAGAGGATCCAGCTTCCAAGTCAGGTGTGTTGACATGAATGATCTTGTACTTGCGCTTCGAGAAGGCCTTGTTGACCAGAATGTGGTCAAGGGCTTGCGAATTGCCTTCCGCGCTGAAGATGGTCGTGAAGCGCTCAGGAGGCTCAAGCTGGTCGGTGGTAAGATTGATGAGACCGGCATCCGTCAGCATCCTGAGCGAGGAGGTAGAGAAGGTCTCGTCATAATCATTGAAGTCGCCCAAGACAACTATCTTGGCGTGAGGGTCCGCAGCGAGAATTCTCTTGACGAAGTCGGCATTGACGGCAGCTTGGGCATCACGCTTCTCTTGGCCACTGATGCAAGGGGGCTGTATCGAACCGAAGAGAGCACAGCTGCCGAGGCGAGAAGTAAAGTGATTGACGATGACGAAGACGGTCTCTCCCTTGAATCGGAATTCACCCGCCAA